AAGGAAGGAAGGAAGGAAGGAAGGAAGGAAGGAAGGAAGGAAGGAAGGAAGGAAGGAAGGAAGGAAGGAAGAAAGAAAGAAAATCCCACACAAATAGAACAGGGGCACCCCAAAGGCACTGGCTGGTAGAAAGAATTTACTACCTGGTCTAGATTACTTTTAAGTTATGGCAACTAAAATAGCTAATGATGTAGACAGATAGGCAGAGCAGGTCTCAGAAGAAAACAAGTAGACTGAGAAATTGAAAAGGCACAAATAATTAAGTTCTTTGAAACTGTGTAACATACAGAGTTGGCCAATGTACCCCAGAACAACATAACTTCTGGTAGCTGGCCACTGACAGGAAATATTTTCAAGGGATTCAAGAGATGGCTCAGTGATTAAGAGCACTCACTGCTCTTCCAGAGGATCCAGGTTACATTCCCAGCACCTACATGGATGCTCACAACCCCAGTTCCAGGGGAATCTAATGCCCTCTTCTGGCTCTGTGGGCATTGCATGCATATGTTGCAAAGACCTACCTGTGGGTAAAACACAGGTGCACATAAAATAAAAATAAAGGAAGAAAGCACTTTTAGTTTACTTTCTTGCCATTAGGTGCTGTGGCTATCGCTCTAAATAAATAAAACACTGATGGCCGGTGACCAGACAGGAAGTATAGGTGGGACAAGAAGAGAGGAAAATTGGGGAAACAGGAAGAAGGAGGGGGAGACACTGCAGCCACCACCAGGACAAGCAAAATGTAATGACACCAGTAAGCCACCAGCCACATGGCAAGGTATAGATTTATAGAAATGGGTTAATTTAAGATATAAGAACAGTTAGCAAGAAGCCTGCCATGGCCATACAGTTTATAAGTAATATAAGCATCTGAGTGATTATTTTATACGTGGATTATGGGACTGCGGGGTTTGGTGGAACCTGGAGAGAAACCCTCCAGCAACAGTTAGGTAACTAGACTAACCTGCTGAATAAAGCCTTGGTGATCAGTGGATGACAATTTATCATAACTTTCTCTGGATATTTCAGGTTTCCAGTGAGACAAGTGTTCAGTATACATGTGGTACAATGATAGGTATTTGATATATTGTGGTTCAAAGACATGTAATGTATTCATTGAGGACTTCAAAACGGATAAGAGAGGGAACCTGTATTCAAGTCAGGAATGAACGCCAGGTGCATGCAGTTATATGAAACTGCCTCTTCTCCGAAAATCTACAAATGTAACTCAAAAATAACTACTTACTTTGGTAAACATTTGCAAACAGAAAGATGTAAAATATATGGTAGTGATTTCTTAAATATAACACCTAAGCATGATCAACAAAAGAGCCTTGAATTCATGTTACCAGTCTACATACATGAACATGCTGGGATAATCAAAATTAGGAAGATAAGAAAAAGCTCAGTGATTCCCAGAGCTCAGGGAGTTAAAGTTTAACTAGCCATGTACTTAAAAACTGACTTTTAAACAGGCTATCCATGTGTATAAAAATAGACCTAAATCCCTCCCCCCTCTCTCTCTACCTTCTCGAAAATCAACTCCAAGGGGATCAAAGATTTTAATTTAAGATATGAAACATGAAACATACATGCAAGCAATACACACAAAGTAAAAAATAAACCTTGGAATTAAAACACCTGTGAGTTCACAAAAGAGAAACAAAACGTGTATACATGGGTGCACACCTTCCACATCACCTGCTCAGAGTACCTGATAATTTGACATAGAATTTGGGTTCTAGAAATATGAAGTTGCTTGGAAATTGGCATTACCACAGATGACTGTAGAAATTATATATTGACTGAGGAATTGGACTCAAAACAGGTGGTGGAGAGACTGAGAGCTTTAAAGACCAAATCGAGGGGAAAGGAGAACAAGTTTGGAGGATTACGAGCTCCCCAGGAGAGCTGCACTATCACTTGAGGCGCCGGCTTGAGACGACTGGAGTAACAAAATCAAGGAAAGAAATCTAAGTAATGAAAAAGAGCGTCTTTAAAAATACCTGCATCTAAACAGCACTCCGATTCTCGGCCAACTCTCTACATGTGGAGTTGCCGAGAAGGTGTCAGAGCTGTAGGCTGAGCAGAGTTCAGCAGCTGCCCCCACTTAGAGGGCACTGAGAGCTGAATGGCATCTTCTTTAGTGCAAAGCGTTACTGTAGCACCATACCGCAAGCCCAGTGGCTTATAGGAGAGAGAAATGTATCTCTCAATGTTTGGATGTTGGAAAGTCCAGGGCCAAGGGACTGGCAGATTCAGTATCGAGTGAGGTCCTGCTTTCTGGTCAGCAGACAGCCATTTTCCTGCTGTAACCTACAGAGAAGCTTTCATTATATTTTGTTGATGCTATTGAGCAAGTAAAATAGAATGTTACTGCTGTAAGGGTTAAACATGGTGTGATTGCTTTGGACAAGTAGCAATTTTCCAACTCCATTTCCACTCCGAGAACTACAGAGAAAAACCTAGGGAATGTAAAGTTCACTGTGGATTTCTCGCTCTCATCTGCCATTAGGAAATCCTGTTAACTCTATTGTCCAAAATATGTGGTGATTCTAAGTAATTCCCACCTTTTCTAAGTGATAACCACAGCCACGCCTCTTCTCCTTCTCCCTTGACGCACTATGATGGTATCTGTGGTTGACAGTCTCACTAGTCATCTTCCAGGAAAGGAAAAAGAATTCCACTATTAAAAAAAAAAAAAAAATCCAGGTGGCCTGAAAGCAGAGGCATGCCCTCTATTCTCAGCTACTAAAGTGGAAGGATCATTTGACCCCAGCAGTTAAAACTAACCTGAGATTCAGTCTCAACAAAACAAAAACTAGAAGGAAAGGTGTGGAGATGGGGCATGGGGCAGGGCAGGAGGGAAAAAATGAAAGATACACTAAAGCAGGCAAGAGCAATAAACGGCCTCTGGGTTGCCCTGTTCTCCCCTCATCTTAGCAGTTTGCAAGTAAAGCAGGCAGTGTTCCTATAAAACACTGTATTACAAGCATTCCCAACAATTGTCCAAAGGATAGGAAATGAATGTAACCAATGTGTGTATACCATCTTCTTAAACATTAGTTGGTGATGAGGGACAACACTGGTGGACATTTTTATCATGTCAGGACTTAAAAATGCTTTCTAAGTAAGGAAACTTATATACAGACACTCTTAAATACAAAGTAAAGTAGTAATAGAATAGCAGCAGAGACGGAAGAGTGTGAAGTTCTATGAACCTCATAAGAAAGGGCTGAGGATGTGTTTCAGTGGTAGAGTGCTTACCTAGCACACACAAGGCCCTGGGTCAGTGCCAACTCAGGGGGAAAAATAAATAACTATAAAGAAAATAAGTTATTAAAGAAACTTTCAGAGATAACTCCATCAAAAGTAAATAGAAATTGGAATTTTTACTTTTTAAATGAAGCTTTTGTTGCGGAGGTAGCTCAGTGGTAGAGTACTTGCCTAGCATGCCCAAGGCCCTGGGTTTGACTTTCAGCAGCTCTTATGTAAGCAAGTGTGTGTGTGTGTGTGTGTGTGTGTGTGTGAGAGAGAGAGAGAGAGAGGGGGGGGGCAAAGCTTTTTTTTTTTTATCAGACTAGCACAATCAAAATTAATTGTGATATGACAGGGACTTAAAAAGATCGGTAGTGACATAGATTGTGACTGAGGTTTTACAATTATTACAACTCCACTATCCACAACAGCCCAAGGGTGTGTGTGTGTGTGTGTGTGTGTGTGTGTGTGTGTGTGTGTGTGTGTTAGTTACTATCTCTGTTCATCAGCAATGGCACCTAAGTATACTACACAGTGGGAAAAGGCAAGTTGTAATAGAGTGTTTTCCTTCTACTTATACATTTTTATTGATAGGCATTCAAGCATATGACTATACACAAAACATTGAGAATATCTTGTTACAACCCTGGTTTCTGTTTTACAGGCGACATCAGACAGGGCTTTCCTATGGTGATAGAATAAATTGTCCAGACACAGAAAACAGAAGCCATCAGACAGACACATGGGTCTTTTCCAACTGGTACGTACTCCGATCTTTCCATATTGAACTACAGTGAACTGCTCTAGAATGCAGTGCTTTCCAGGCCTGCAATAGAGTCTTCCAGGTGCAAAGGAACTGAAAATTGATAGCATGCACATTTCAGCAAACACTATTTAGTGAACAGAGAAAAACTGGCCTATTCTCAGGATGCCCGGAGAAAAGCCTGCCTTTCCTTTTTACCTCTCTGTGGTCCTCCCGAGTTCCACATTCTCACCCAGTTACCCTCAGTGGTCTAGAATGAAGTATTTAGCTTTGTCTGCTCCTGCCCTGCATGTAAATGGAGACTTCGCATCTGCGTACCTACAAGTGCCATGTGACGGACGGTGAGAAGTTGGAGCCCATGTAGAATCATGTGAGCCTGAAGTTAAAGACCTTGCGCTCTGAAGCAGCATGCGTGTAAAAGACTACAAAAGAGGGAAGGGAAAGTTCCAGAAAGTTCTCTGAAAACTCACATATGAGAAAATGCAAATACTATTATCTTGAATATTTTTCAACTGGAATTTCAGAAACGTCCTCGACTGTGTCATTGTCCCCAAAACCATTTATAGATATTTAAATAGTAATACTATTCTCCCCAAATTAATTGATTCTCAAAAGCCATTAAAACTGTGCATGAAAAAGATAAGGCACTAATGGAAAAAAATGAAATAAATTGGAAGTGAATAATTGTATTTACATTTCTCTACTTCCAAGTTTCAAGCCAGGTACTTATGCACTTGAGTTTCACTGTTGTTACTATTTGTTGTCCTGAGAAAAATAATAGAGCGAAGACATAAATACTATTAACACAATTGCTTCTCACAAAAGTCCCATGATAGGTAAGTTCTGTTGTTTTTATTTTTCCAGGTGAGGTATAATCGGGTAAACTGAGGCACGGAGCAGTACCCAACATTTTCTTATAAACGTTTCTTTCTGAACTAGATGAAATTCAAGAAAATTCTCCCCTTGAAATGCGGGGAATTCTGGGCCACAAAACTTACATGGGCCCAGGCAAAGGCCACGGCATCATGCTTAACCAAACCTGGGAAGCTACAGCCTGCAAGTCCAGCTGGGCACAAGAGCTGTAACCCGCGGTGAGTGCGTGCAGAGGTGGACGAAGCCTTTGTTAGGATATCCCCCACCACCACTACCCGCGCCCTGACTCCCGCAGACGCCAGTGGCCCGGAGCAAGGTCTGCCTGCACCAGCCATCTCGAAGGGACTCCAGTGCCCACGAGGTCGTGTGGCCGCGATCTCGCGCATGCGTGGCCCCGGGCAGCCTCTGCGCTTACCTGGTGCGCTGGGTGAGGAGGTGCAGGGCCAGGAGCAGCAGGGTGGCGATGAAGAGCAGGCCCGGGAGGGTGAGCAGCGCGGCCAAGCCCGCGTCTGGGGTCGTGGCTCCTTTCATCCCGACACGCTGGCGGCTCTGCAGGGGGCGATGGCTTCTGCACAGTGCCCTCTCTTCTCCACCCGAGGCTCTGGCCTGGCCGCGGCGCCGAACAGAATGTCCCCGCGGTCCCTGAAGCTGAACTACAAAGTTAGTGGAGTCCCCTCCCCCCGCCGCCTCCCCCTGACCCAAGCGCACCGCCTCGCGCCGCCTCCCGCTCCACTGGCAGGAACCCTGCCAAGGGAGAGGGAAAGGATTAGGATTTCCCCAGATGGATCCGTGGAGGCCTGGAGGAGGGGGGTTTCGTTTCTGAGTCAGCAGTGAACCCACAGGAAGGACCCTGCCTGACGCCTCTCCCACCCACCATGCTTGGGACTTGGCCCTGTGGCGCAGGTCTTCCTAAGCTGCTGGCACACAGCACAGGATGTGCTCCCCACCTCCTTCATCACCAACATCCTATTGTGCTTAGATTGAGGTCGAGGGCATAATATGTGCTCACACCACAGACTGGGGTAAGGAGGCCAGGCCATCTTCCAGAAGGGTTACTGAGGTGCACAGCTCAGAAAGAAGCCCCAGGTAAAAATCAGCTGTACACCACAAGCCAAGGTGTACCGCACGTTGTACAGGCAGAGAAGGCAGACACTGGGAAAGTATCTTCTCATGGGGCCTGGGGTGATGGATGGCTCAGTAGATACAGGCTTGGGGCTGTCAAACCCTGCCTGGAGAGATAAAGTGAGACCTGTTGGGAAAGAGACCCGAGGTTTAACTACACAAGAACCCACACCAAACACAAGTAGACACACCCCCACTACCACCACACACGCATAACTTTTTTTCTGAGTAATGACTACCCAGCAGACAGTTTACATGTCTACTCCCAAAACTTATAATTAAGTTTCAGCAGTAGTTCATAGAAAATATCAGGATATTCAAGTTGTCCTGTGGACTCAGTTGGTGAGTATTTTCCCTTCTAACTAAATCTTATTCCAAATCCTCATTATCTTCTCCACTAGGCAAGACAGTTTACACCCTCACCCCATCCCTGAAAAATTATTACTAACAGCTTCAAAATTGGTTTCCAGGCTTCTCACCTCTCTAAACAGTTCTGCTTTTACCCTGTCCCAGACTCCGAAAGTGATAAGTACTGCATGTGCAAACGGAAGTGTCAGTCCTAAAGATGCAAGGAGAAAGATCACCAACCCAAATCATCACAGCCAAGTTAGTTCATGCAGGCTTTTTTATTCATATGCAGGGGCTGCCTCCCTGCAGGGTGGGGTTTGAGAGGCCATCATTGGACATGAGGAAGACAAGATTTTTATAGGGCAGGGCAGGGGGGTCCAAATGGAGGGTTATAGAAGCAGAACATAACAAGGTGGTCTTAATAAGATAGTCAGAACAAGGTAGTCATAACCTTTTGAAACAATTGAGTAGCAAGATGGTCATTACAACTTTTTGAAACAAAGACATGATTGCAAGGTGTTCATAACAACAGGTGTCGTATAACCCTTTGAAACAAAGGCCTGGTTCCTACTTCCTGGAACAGGCAGTACAGAGCCATTCGTAGTTAAGGTTACAGGTGGGGCACAGCTCAGTCCTTGAGAAACAGAGATTAAATCATAAACAGAAATGAACCCAGTTTGTCTTTACCACAAGATGGATTTCAAGCCCAAGATGGAGGCAGGCTGGTTCATCAGAAGCCCTCCACAATCTGTCTCTTTGACCCAGTCTCCTTGCTCTATGACAGTTCCCGTGAAACCCATGCCTGAGCCGTTTTGTACTCCACATCCCACCCACATGCTCCTATGATTAAGAGTTCCTTCTGCCTCAAAACAAAAAGTGCTCTCTCCTCTAAATGCTCACATTGTCCCTACCTATCAAGGCCCAGCCCTAATTCCACTGCTTAAGGTTTTTTGTTGTTGTTTGTTTGTTTCTGTTTCATTTTCTGAGACTATGTCTTAGGATGCAACTCATGTTTGCTTGGGACTCCCTATGTAGACCAGGCTAGCCCCAAACTAGTGGTGATCCTCCTGTCTCTGCTTCCTGAGTGCTGAGATTACGGGTGTTTGCCTCATTTAAATCCTGCTCTCCTCATAAAATTATCCAAAATTCTACTTTTGTTGTTACTCTTTCCTCCTAGTCCACTGTTGCTACTTTCATCCCACCGAGTTCATTTTCCATTTCCGTCTGCTATTTCTCTGTCTGTTTCTCCTTCTAGAATAGGTGCATACTATGCCTGAAGCAAAAGAATCATTTTAGCACAACTAAACACATCAAGGAATAAAATAGATACCAAATATTGCTTTCAATATTATTCACTGTCTATTCACAATTTACATTTTAACTGCAGAATCTGTTTTCTGTTTGTTAAACCTGAAAAAAACTGGTTTATTTCCAATGTGGGCTTATACTGCAAAGAGCTATGAGAACTGTTTGATTATGGCTGACTACTGGTTCCCTTCAGAAATCAGCCACAGTTATTTCAACATTGGATTTCAGCAATATCTTGTGTACTTTGGATGCTCTAATTGGATCACAATCAATAACCAAATCTAAAGGAGCCATCATGGCTGAGCTTTAAGACCCGAGGCCTCCCAAAACAGAAGTGTCTTCAGAATTAGATGACAAATCATATCTTATCAGACCATTTTCTTTGAGAAATGGTATTTTCACACCAATGAGGGTGTGGGGACAAGGAGAAGAAAAAAAACAAAAACAAAAACAAAAAAACAAAACAAAACTGAAGTAAAAGCAGAGTCAAGGGAAAGGGCAATACACTTGAGTCTCAGAAGAGCCATGGATATCAGGATTGCTGTTCATGTCACCCTTATCTATCACATGACTGTAATGGTACCATAGTTTAGATGTGGTTGATCATGAGGGGCCCATGTTGTAGAGATTCAGTCTTCAGTGTGATGGTTGGATCTTTGAGAAATGGGGCATTGTGAGCTTGTGGGAAATGTAAGCAAAATGTACTGTCTTTTCCATAAAAGGGTTAAAGTAAACAAAACTATTGAAAAATTGTATATGCACTCAGCATGTTTGTATTTACATTCTGTGTGTGTGTGTGTGTGTGTGTGTGTGTGTGTGTGTGTGTGTGTGTGTGTTTACAATCACGGGGTTGCATGATAAGACACACACACATGTCTATACAATTATATATACAAAACAATATTGTTTCTATAAACAATTGTATATATGTATGATATATATACACACACACACACACACACACACATATATATATATATATATATATATATATATATACATGCATACATACATACATACATACATACATACATACAAAACAATCCATGAAAAAGAGACTTTCAATGTGAGAGAAGGTGGTGGACATGAGAGGGGTTGGAGGGAGGGGACAGAGGGAGGTAAGGGACAGGAGAAAGTAATGTAATTTTATTTTATTTTAATATGTAAAAACAAAAACAAAAACAAACAAACAAAAAAGCACTTAGCAGAAATACTTCCAGAGTCAGCACTTTTGAAATAAAAAAACACATTTAAGGCATACTTTCTAGTAAACATCGCATTATGTTTATCAGCTCTGTTGCTGTAGCCACTCTGGTAAGACTGTGAGGCCAAGTTCTGACCACTCAGAAGAAGGCACAGGTGCCTCTGGTTGGTAATAAATCTTGTGTACTTTGGATGCTCTAATTGGATCACAATCAATAACCAAATCTAAAGGAGCCATCATGGCTGAGCTTTAAGACCCGAGGCCTCCAAAAACAGAAGTGTCTTCAGAATTAGATGACAAATCATATCTTATCAGACCATTTTCTTTGAGAAATGATATTTTCACACCAATGAGGGTGTGGGGACAAGGAGAAAAAAAAACCTGAAGGACCCCATTCCCACTCAAAACCTTGCCTTTCTGTGCTTGCCTTTCTGATTTGGCGTTTTAATTCTTTAATTGGTAGAAAAAAATGAACCTCATCAAGACCCCTAGACAGTAACAATGCCATCTGTAGTTGGACCCCTGCTAGAGGTCAGCCAATGGGGGTAACCTAGCTTTGACTTCCAGCCTCTAAAATTGAGCTAAACAATATTTTTCTTAACAAAGGATCTAACTCAGGCTATTTTGTTTTACCAACAAAAATGGACAAATACAGGTGGCCAATACTATCTGTTTCTGTGCTAGTGGTTGAGTCTGGGGTCAGATGGTCTAATAAGAAACCAATTTCTAGCCCCTTTGTTCTCTTTCAAATGGGGTATTAAGGCTGAAATTCTGACCCTCCTTTCCTTCAGAACTTCTCTTTTGATTCTCAAGAAAAATGAATAATGGATGTTTCCCTCTACTTTACAACTTAGTGTTTCTAATTCTCCTGTTCAGACTCAGATTCTATTACACTGGACTAAGCCTACCTCTATAGGTAATTTCCTAAGTGTAAGCCAGGTCCATGGACTACATTTGGTTTGTGGGATCTGTAAAACATAAATAGTATCTTCTTTCAAAGAAGATGACGTGAGGTGAACAGAAATTAATATTAGATAAAAGTAAGAAAAGAAATTAGTCAGCATGATTGTGGAGTAACAATGGGGGAATTTAATAACATGCACCCACGTGCTTTCAATCATTTGAGTTTTCCCGCAAGCAGATGATGTGGTAGGGATCTGGTACATGACATATTCAGGAACAATGTGGAAACCTAGTGCAGTGGAAACTCCCTGGAATCTACATAAGTGACCCTAGCAAAGACTCCTAGTAATGGGGGATACAGAGCCTGAACTGGCCATCTTCTGTAACCAGGCAAGGCTTCCCGTGGAGAGACTGGGACACCAACCCAGCCACAAACATCCGACTTACCATTGATCCTGTCTGCAAGATGTGCTGGGGTAATAGTGGCACAGAACTTATGGGAGTGGCCAACCAATGACTGGCCCAGCTTAAGACCCATACCAGGAAAGGGAGTCCATGCCTGACACTGTATGGAAGGCCAGAAACCAGATGCAGGACAGCCCAGAGACCCCAGCATTTCTGTGGGGAGGGAGGAATTCAATGAAATGATTCCTAATGATACTCTGCTGTACTTGTAGGCCAGAGCCTAGCATAATCATCATCGGAGAGGCTTCATCTGACAACTCTTGGGAGCAGATTCAGAGACCCACAGCCAAACATTAGGCTGAGGTCAAGAAACCTTGCAGAAGACGGGGAGGAAGGATTGTAGGAGCCAGAGGGGTCAGGACACCAGGAGAACACAACTCAGAGAATCAACTAAGCAGGACTCATAGGGGCTCACAGAGACTGAAGCCTGTATTGGTCTGAGCTAGGTCCTCTGTATACATGTTATGATTGTGTAGCCTGGAGTTCTTAAGGAACTCCTAGCAGTGGAACTTGGGACTGTCTCTGATTCTTTTGACTTTTCTTGGGACCCCTTTCCTCCTACTGGGTTGCTTCTCTCAGCCTCAATATGAGGTTTGTGCCTAGTCTTATTGTAACTTGTTATGCAGTATCCAGTTCACATTCCTAGAAAGCCTGCTCTTTTCTGAAGGGAAACAGGAGGAGTGGATCTGACAGATGGGGCTGGGAGGAGAAGAGTGTAGTAGGAGCTGTCTGAGCCATGCTGTGAAGCACCCGCCCACAGAAGGTACCTGATACACCTGCCTATGACCTTAAGGTACATGCCCGTGGGGCGTGGCCACTTGGGGACCCTTAAGACCTAGAGTGCCCTTAAGCAGCTCTCTCTTTGCTATCTCATGGTTTTGGATGCTGGGACAGACCAAGGCAGAGCTCTCCAGAGAACAGCGTTGGACTGTGCCTCACCTCTCCAGGATCCTGCCACAAATTTCTTTATTCTGTTTTATGAGTTAACCTCCAAATAAATTCCTTTGATCAATGAGCAGACTCCATGGATTGATAGCAATATGATCCCAATAAAAGAGAAGAATTTAAAAAAAGAAGGAAAGAAGAGAAAAGAACGAGAGAAACATTTAAAGACACCACCATGGGAAACGTCCAAGAGGCATTCCGCCCTTTCTTTTCCTAATGTAATAAAGCATCTAAAATCAGGGTTGAATAGTAAGCCTGAAAAGTCCTATCAACTTTTGACATAAAATGTAGCCTGAGTTCCAAATTACAAAGTATGCCTTGCTGTGATTTTTTTTCTCCTCTTCCTTTTTCTTCTTCCTGCAGTAACTCTGATTTCCTGTTTTCTGTTAGAATCAAGACCATGACTGGACAAACTTGTCAAGAAGAGGAAAAAGAAGAAGAAAAGATGGGTTACCTGTTTCACATACACTGTTTCATCTGCTTCTCAAAGCTCTGGTTTAGGTACTGTTATCACAAACTGCTTATATGAAATGGTTGGTTGAGACAGAGGTGTTTTGGAGTTTGAACTTTTTCAGGTTTTGTAATATTTGCATTGTGTTGTAAGCTGTCTAAGGAGTTACTTTAAGGTTTGTATATGTGTATTCATATATTCTAAGGGTAACTCCACAAGGCATCACAGTATTTTTAGTACACCTACCTTAATTTCTTTATTATTATTATTATTTTGAGATTGATGTTGACACTTGATCTTCCAATGCACCTAAATTTTGGTTGTGACTTCTCACCTAAGGGCAAATGTAGAATTTTCCATTGTGGCAATCATTAGTTGCTGTGGATGATTGATTGACAAATAAAACACTGATTGGCCAGTAGGCAGACAGGAAGTATAGGCGGGACAAAGAGAGAGGAGAGGTCTGGGAAGTGGAAGGCTGAGGCAGAGAGACACTGCCAGCCAATTCCATGAGAAGATGTTAAGATACCGGTAAGCCACGAGCCACGTGGCAACTTACAGATTTATAGAAATAGGTTGATTTAAGATATAAGAACAGCTAACTAGAAGCCTGAGCCATTAGGCCAATCAGTTTAAATAATATAAGCGTCAGTGTGTTTATTTTATAACTGGACTACAGGACTCCGCCTGCGGGGGCTTGGAGGGACCCGGAGAGAAGCTCTCCAGCTACAATCAGTGTTCAAAATTTTCAGTTTTCATTTTTTTTCATATTGAGAATATCCAATGTAAATTTTCTTCTACATAAAAGAAAATCAAGACTAGGAATTTCAGGACACCCATGCTTATTCAGCTTGTGTTTCCTAATGTGAAGTTACCTGTCTATGACTTTCCCATCCTATCCTCACAGGTTTCACAAATACTTAGCTAAATTCATTTAGTCATTCTTGCCTCTGTTTGTATGGGTCCAGTTTTTACCTTGTGTTGTTCATAACTGAGACAGCCCATGGAGAACCCGAGCTTCTGTTTTCCAGGCTGGCTTTCCTTGGCCTTTAGGAAGCTATGAGCCTAATCTGACCTTTTTTATTCTGAAAACAAAAGGGGTGTGAAGCTTCCCTTCCTAATGGGTATATGAAAATTAACCTGTGATGGGTAACTTGTAACAGTGGAAATGATGGAGTTTCTCCTGTTTTCAGAATCAAGCATTTTCTGCTGCACTGAACAAGGGTAGAAACAAGTCCTCCAGATGTGGTTGTCTCAGCTGAGATGTCAGTATTCTGACTTACTACGTTTGTCCCATGAAATGTAAATTATTCTTTCCTGAAGATTCTTACCTTAGCTGAGTTAGCCACAACCATGTAAAATACGGCTGCTAAGTCCAAATGTTGTTACATAGCAAATGGTGAGACACTGAAAATGCATAAACCAAACCTGACTTAAAATGTCTTAAATTACAGTACCACCATTTGTCCTCTCATTTATAACTTAGGTAATATCATTTATTTCCTTGGGTTTTGTTCTCTTTTCTCCTATAGAGCAAGACTTTATACACTGAGTGTTCAGTTTAGGCACATCACATATAGACAGTATAGGCAGGAATCTTCATTAAATATGATGTTAGCTGGCTGTGGTGGTGTACACCAGGCCTTGGGAGGCAGAGGCTGGAGGATTTGGAGTTCAAGACAAGGCTGAGATGCAAACTGAGTTCTTGTCTCTAAATAAGTTAATGATGTAACAAGTCAAGGACCGATGGACAAGCAAGTTGACACAGCAATGTAGTTCAATGTAAACCTCTTTTGTGAAGATGAAGTACAAGTCTAGTAAGTCCCGAATATATTATTTTGCAACAGCTTTAAAAATGGTGGAACAGATGGCTCTGATTATATCCAAAGGAAGGGAAGGCTTGGAGAGCTTTTGTTTCTTGTTTAACCATTTGGCATGAACTGTACACTGTTGAGTTTTGAATACTCTGGTTTATAAAATCATAATTGCGGGCTAACCGTTCATTCTCACGATCTGACCCAACTTCCCATGCCAAGTCCTGAAATTCATACTCTTTGTCCCTGGCTTACACTGTATTTCCCAACATTTTATGTCCCAATTACTCTCTGAACCTGGATTTCTGAGAAGTGAGAGTATGAAGTTTACCCTACAAAATTCTTTCAGTGAGAACTGCTCCCTTTAATCATGTTCCCTGTCCACCTCTGTTCACTAATGGAACATTTTATAGGTTGCAAATATTTTCTTTGGATTGGGCTGAGCTGATTCTCTGAAAAGTGTTAACCTAAGTAATGTACAAAGGCTCTGTAAAGATAATTAAGTTTATTGGAGAATATCAGAGCATTGCAAGATGAGTCCACATGTCATAGTAAACTATGCTGAGGAGGATTAAATAAAATACTATAAATAATAATCTTTGGCTATGATTAATAACCAAGGTGATGTCATGCCAAGATTACACAGTTGTATAGTCTTTCAGAAGCATGTGTGTATGTTTCTGAGAGTTAGAGGTTTTTGTGAGTTGTTCCTGTTACAAAGCAACCACACTTCAAGGAACTTAGTGAACTCACATAACTACTGAGGTGTATGTTAGAATGCTACCCTCCTGCAGAATTCCTTAAATTTATATTTTAGTTAGGATATTTATTGTGGTGATAAAACACCATGACCAAAAGCAACTTGGGGCATGGAGCAGTGTAATTTCACTTAAACTTCCAGGTAACAGCTCATCACTGAGTTAAATCAGGGCAGAACTCAAGGCAGGGTAGGAACCTGGAGCCAGGAACTGATACAGAAGCCAAGGAAGGGTGCTGCTTACTGGCTTGCTCCACATGGCTTACTCAGCCTGCTTTCTTATAGCATCCAGGACCAACAGCTCAGGTGTGTCACTGCCCACAGTGATCTGGGCTCTACTTCATTAATCATCGATCAAGTAAAGGCACCACAGGTTTGCCCGCAGGCCATTCTGTTAGGGACATTTTTTTTTTCAGCTGAATTCCTCTCTTCCAAAATGACTCCAGCTTTTGTCAACTTGACTTAAAAGTATCCAGCATACTTTCTGCATCATTTAATTTAGGATTTAATTTTTTAAAAAAAAAGTGGTTTCATTTTAATTCTGACAACTTTCAAAGGTACTTCTCAAAAGAATCTTCAACATTTCATACACACTAGTTCTCTTGGACCATCTGCATGTAGGATTATTTATCCCTAACACAGTTCAGCCTCTCTGGTTCTCCTCTTCTACCAGATTTGCCTCTTCAAATACCATATTTCTCTTGGCTTTGAAATAAAGAACCATTCAGCTTATACATTTTTGATCCAGTAATTGACATCTCTTATGACAAGTAGCTATCAATAATTTCTTCTGAAAAAGCATCATAGAATATTTTCAAAATATAATCATAGAAATGGTAATAATATGAGCAACAATTTGAAGTCTTTTAAAGAAACGGCATCCATCATTTTCTCTTTCATAAATGTAAATAGATGCTAAGAAAATAAGGAAGAACGGAATCCTCTCATGTCTGCTCTTAAAGACGCTGTGACTGGCTAATTGGAGCCTTTAGGAATAACAGGTGTCAGTCAGCGTGTGTCTTTCCTGCATTTATCAAGAGCTGTATTTCTAGGCTTCATGTGTCTTTTCCTCACTTTGCTCTTCCTATGACTAACTATTCCTGTTCTCAGCTGCAACACGTAAAGTCTTAACTGAGGCTGAGCAGAATTCCTCTTCCCTCCTTTTAGGTGTTCCTGGACCTCCAGATGTTTCCTTCTATCTCTGTTTCTTTGTTTTATTTCTCCTTCTTTGATTCCGAAGCATCTGGAAATCAATTCCATGTCTGGCTTCTCAGCGACAGTCCCAGAAAACTCAAGCCCTGCAGTCCTTCAGTGCTTGCATGTCCTGAACGACTCACGACCCATTGGCCACTTGCAGTGCAGTCATTGATCAGGCAGTCCATGCCAGAACGCAGATTATATTACTATGGATTTACTATATGTAACAATGACTGTATCACCAGCAGAAGAAGAGATTTATTGTGGGAATTGTACTGTACTAATCTGGGTAGGAGCTGAAAAAGTGAAGACAGGAAGGGAAATCTGAAGGATCAGAGAAAGAAACATAGCTAGTAGGCATGTTGTAGTGACCTACAGAGAAATCGTGAGGCTGGGCATATCCAATAGCTAAGCTAGGCTGGGGAGGGGCAAACTGGGAAGAGTTATGGGAGGTCTGTGCACTTGAGGCTAAGTAAAAGGTAGAGGTTTGGGGAAGCTGTGGGTCAGCTGACCAACAGATAAGCTAGACATGATGGGCAGATGGAAAACTAGTGTGATGGCTAGTTTTATGTCAATTTGATACAAGTTAAAGTGATTTACAAAAAAGAAAATTCAATTGAGATTGCACCCACTAGATTGTCCTATGTCCAACATTGTGGTGTATTTTCTTGATTGGTGATTAATATGGGAGGGCCCAGATCACTGTGGGTGGTGCCTCCCCTGGCCTGGTGGTCCTGGGTTATGCTATAAAGAAAGCAGGCTGAGCGAGCCATAAGGAGCAAGCCAGTAAGCAGCACTCTTCAGTGGCCTCAGCTTCAGTTCCTGCTTCCAGGTTCCTGCCTTGCTTTCCTGCCCTGACTTTTCTGGATGATGTTTATACACAAACTGTATAAACCCTTTCCTCCCAAGACGATTTTTATCATTGTATTTCATCACAACAATAGAAGCCTTAACTAAAACACTGGGCAAGTCAAGCCACAGAGAGGAGTGTAGATTCGAGCCAGACAATGTTCCAGTTCCATCACTGACATCATTAATTAGTTCCATGAACTTGCATTTATCTAGCTATAAATATAGTGTAAATACTCATATTTTCATATCTCTTATTTTTTTCAAAAGATCCACACTCATTTCTAAATTGACAGTGAAATTTCATAATCCTAAAATAGGTTCAGAAGATGTGTTAATTCACATATTTTAGCTATTGACAGTTTATAATAAAATTATATTATAATTATTTTTTCATGTTTCCATGCAATGTGCTCTAAACACAATAGCAATTTCTTGCACACCCTCATTAATTTCAAAATTACAGTAGTAAGCTCTTAGTAACCAGAAATTTTACATTGTTCCATTTTCTTCTTTAACTTGTATTTCCATTCCATTTCTCCCACAAAATTTTATCCTAACATAATATAGTTTTATGCTTGGAGAGTTTTATTGATAACATTTTATATCTTGCTGCAATAAAATTTTTGTATATAAATTGAAATTAATTTTTATATTCTCTGTTACCATATGACCTATTATCATTTTATCTGGTTAAAGGTACCTTTATAATGACAATCAATACATAACTGAGCAAAGAAAGATAAGTGTATTATAGAGACTGATAAGTAAACCTCCAAAGTTAAGATCAGTTAGCAATGCAGATTTATTATGTTAATATATGTGTATGTATGCTTATATGTGTTACCCTTCTCTGACAATGAGGAAATGGATTCCTTCATCGATATATTTTTATGTCATCAGTTACATCTCTGTGTAATCAACTTTCTATTTCTAGCACCTCCATAGCCCCATTCTCATAACCTGCTTCCCAGTGGATTCTGCACACTGCACAGGGCAAATATGCAGATGCCTTCTCACGCTGTTTATGTAGGCTTCTGCTCGTGCTGCTGGAGTTGTTGGGATAGTTTACTCTCTCTCATCTGCAAACTCTTGGACCAAATTTTGCCAAAAGGAATTGAGGGAGGACGGAAGAGAGATGAAATATGTTTAAATGCCATTTATTAATGCAAATGAGTAAGTTACACTGATAAGATAGAAAAACATACATTAGAAAATATAGGTCATTTTTTAAATTTTCTGTTTTAATTTTTTGCTTCTTAAATCCAACGTTTCATCTTTGCTATATTAATGAAACCATCTCTCTTACTTAAAGACATAAATTACTTATCTTTTATTGTTTGACTAATTCTTGCCTTGTCATCTTGCTTCCTCTGTATCTGGCTGGTGACTCCTGACTCAGCCCTTTCTCTTCCCAGAATCCTCCCAGTCTGCTCACCCCACCTATACTTCCTGCCTGGCTACTGGCCAATCAATGTTTTATTAAACCAGTGTATAAGAGCTTTATCACACAGCACATCTTCATATAAAATTTATACAAAAGCCAATGATGTAATATTTTTATGATTATAATTAATAGCTGCAATTTGCAGAATTATTAAAAAACTGCTCTACATCTACATCTAAATGGCTACCATTTACTGTCTGGTACACAGTTAAGCGATATTCTCACCGTGAAACACATTACATAGGAAAGCATCCAATTATTCATCAGGTCCTGTAATTTGTAGCATCTACAATTGTGTCTTAAAAGTGTCTAAGGTGAATGAAATGGTCTGGAGTAACTGTAGATGTTGAAAAGAGGAAGGGTGGTCTAGGGAACTGGTGAGACCCACCATATAAATACTGGCTCCCTTTTACTGTGCCCTGTGGGTGTTTTATACTTCGATGTCCTTTGTTAGATGTTAGTTTTCAGGTTTTATCTATTGATTTTGGTGAGATAGGGCATGGGTTCCTCTCAGTGACCATTTCAGTCATTCTGGAATGCAGAAGTTGATTTTAAATGGAAGCTGTGTGCTCATTTTGGACTTTCCGCATTTATCGATAATGATAAACTTCAGACATTGAACTAGTATCACATTCCTTACTTCAAAGCTTTGGAAACCATGTTTTGCTTTATCTTCCTTGGCATTTTATGACACATGGTGTGTCACTCTTTCCAGCTGCACCAGAACATGCCTGGCCCTTGGTGTCATCCTTTCCCATAAGGTGCTGTGTCAGAGCAGACCTGTCTCCACTGTGGCTAGAGGTTCTGCTTTTGAGAAGACTTTGGGGATCAGAATTCTCACTTTTGTTTTTTAGACCATTCTAAAATCACTCAAAATGTGGTGGAAAACCCATCATTCTGTTTCAATAGGCTGTGGTATAATACACAAAACCTTTTTAGAAAATGACATTTCACGGTGCCACATAAGTCATAAGGTTCTTGATTTAATCTGAGTTTTCTGCACACCAGAACTGGGATGTTTTCTTGGGAAGTCAACCTCTTTCCTTGTCTTAGTTCTTCTGTGTGGCTATAACAGAGTAACAAAGATCGCTTACTTAATAAAGAATACAAATGTATCTTGCAATTCTAGAGTTTGAGAAACTCCAAAGCGTCTTAGCAGAAGCCATGGTGTCTAGTGAAGGGCCAGCCTCTAGCCTCTAGATGACACCCTGGATGTTGTGTTCTTCAGAGTAGGGGGAACTGCACCCCACATGACAAGATCAAAGGCCCCTTTAAATGGCACTAGCTGTCCCCTGAGAGCAGAGCACTCATGACCTAATTACCTTTTAAATATATTCTAACTTTTAGCTCTGCTACAATGGCAGTTAAATCTCCATGTGAGTTTTGGAAGGGATACACATACAGTCTACCTCTCATTGTTTGAAAAGGATTTAGAGAAGTGGCATATTGCAGCATAACTGCATTACAGTGTTAGTGACCAAAGGATGCTTGAAAGTTATTCTAGTTTAAGAGAAGAGTGCAACCCAGAAAATGCTTGGCTACTGAAGAAAAGTGTTGGAACACATTCCAAGAGTGGAGTCGTGTGAGGAGAATTCTGAGTGTTTGTGAGAATGACCCAAGAAAACAAGACATGAGTCTTGTGACCCCTGTTTCTTCAGAACAGGAAGTTGTTCTTGGATTATGCTTTCTTGCTCCTCTCAGGAGGAGCAGATAGGACTGAGCGGACTTCAGATTATTCATTACAACTGGTTTTAGTTATTTTTCTTTCTGTCTCTATGGAAAACATGTTTTTGCCCCATGCAGCTTGTCCCCGTGATTGTATACAGCTTGAACACATGATAACTTTACTCAGGTGACTCTTCTTAACCCTCAGAGTAGAAATAGTCTGAAGCTCAGAATACAGTTGGCTACTGCATGAGACTTTAGTCTGCCTCATTTATTGAACCATTATCCCAGCTCCCACCACCTTTAGATCAGGAAACAAAAAGAAGTTTAAAAATTGAAATATGCCAGAGAAATTGCTTAGGTGTCCTGGATTTTGCTGAGAATTTCTTATTAATGGTAGGTTAAAAAAATGAAAACAAAACAAAACACCACCGAGGACAAAAACCACATGCTCATAGGATGTTTCTCTATTCCCCTTTATTTTTGTAAAATTCACTATTACTGTCAGTTTGTAAAAATAAATAATAAGCAGAGTAAAAAAACAGATTGAGAAATGGGAAAAAAAAACTTCATCTACACGTACTACACATACTATTTGTACTATTCATACTATACACCGGCAGGGGAACTGACATCTAGAATCTATAAAGAACTCAAAAACTAAACATCAAAAAAGGATTTAATCCATAAATGTGCAAATGAATTTTATTGACAGCTCTCAAAAGAACAAATAGAAATGATCAATAACATATGAAAACATCTTCAACATCTTTAACCAACAGAGAAACTCAAAACCACATTCAGATTCCGTCTCACTCTGTGGGAGTTCCTGCAAGCTTCATGGACAGCAGGGAAAAGATCTGTTGGGGATAAGAAGGAAGCCTGGTTCAGCAGGACTGGTTAGCTGGAATTTTTCAAACTTCTGGAGTCTGACCCTGAGCAGTTTAGTTTTTACATAAATACAGTAAAACTTTGGGGGAAAGTTTCTGCATGATATTATCACAACAAAGCTTAAAGTGTGGCCACATTGAAACTCCATGTGTCCTTTGCAAAGTATATGTCCTTTGTGAAACACCTGTGACCTCTTAATGAGTTCTGTTGACTGAGAAACAATGCTCAGAATAAGGATTTGTAATAAGCATAAGGATGGGTCCAATTGATTGCAAGGATGGACTCTATTGGCTGAGAAACAATGCTCAAAATAAGGGGGACTCAGGTGAGGGCTGGCTCCACAGAAGAGCAAAAGCTCACTAGGTCATTAAACAACATCCACTCCAGCCTTCCAGATGAACAGTTTCTTCTGTTGAAGGAAAAAGTCCATGTGTTTAACAAGTCTGGTTTCTCTAGCGCTATCTGTAAACATGTGGGCCTCATGCACCATCACTCCAGTAAGAATGGCTGTTGTCAAGGAAACAAAAACCCACAAACACTGGCCAGAGTGTGCTGAAAGAGAAACCTTGAAACACTGCTGATGGGACTGTAAACTGAGGCAGCCATAACAGCTACTATGGAAATCAGAATGGGGGCTCCTCAACACACCAGAAAACTGAACTATACAGTTCTGAATGTTGGACTTGAAAGACTTGAAGGAGTATACCACAGACATACTTATATGCTGTGCCTATTGCTGTACTATTCATTAGAGCCAAGGCATGGAACCAGCCTAAATACCCCTCAACAATTGAACAAATAAAGAAACTAAAAGTCTGTGAAGATAGTCCAGATAGTAAGTGTAGGGACCTGGATCACATCATCCACATTTGATTTAAAGTTGGGCATGGTTGTGAGCATTTGTAATCCTAGTGGTAGAGAGGCAGAGAGAGAGATCCCTAGAAATATAACAGTGAGCCTCATTGGTCCAGCCTCTGTAGGGAAAGGAGTACTTGTCAGTGTGAACTGTGACAGCCAGTTTCCTAACAAACCATCCAAGGGTGCCTTCAGGTGAGACCGTGTGGGGTGCCTGGATGCCCCATGTCAATTTGAACATTTCTTGGTTCTTGGTTCTCAAAATATTGGGCATGGAACCAGGTGTTGCCTTGGTTCCTGGTGAATCTAAGACCATCACAGGCAATGAGCATCAGCTGATGGATATGAGGGGTCATAGAAGTGCAGGTGAAAAGGGTTAAGCTTGATCTAGGGATGGGCACTCCTTCCCTGTGTATATTGTACATTTCTTTTTCAGTCATAAATATTCGATCATCCAGCCAGGGCTCCTTCAGAGGTTAAAGGAGAGTTATCAATTGACTTCAGCTCCTGTGCAACACCAGCCAAGGGTCCACCAGCTTCAGACATTGGGCAAAGGAAGCCTTGGCAGTCAGGTGAGTAAAGCCGTGGTAGCCAAGATGCATTCTGGTTTTAGATCTAGCCTAACAGCTGGAGGTAGTCCTACTGAGTTCATTGTGGGTAAGGAAAGTCAGGGAAGCCTCAGGAAAGTGTCCAGGATAGAAAAGGTAGACCATTGATACAGTGGATGGAAAATTTTCATGCTGTGGTGGACCTCAATAACATTTTAAGTTAGTATCTCCTTACTTTCAGACATCCGAGATCACCTGACATGTGCTTGGAATTGATGGCAGTGGGCTTTCCGAGTACTTTACCAGGATTTTTACAGGCTTTTGTTATCCTGCACATCCTAAGTAAAGACACTTTGTTATATAGATGACATAATTCTACCCTCTGAGTGATTTTCAGGTTTAGAACATGTTTGAGAGAAATATGAGTGCATCTTAAGACTTAAGGATGAGCAATCTGTTTGCAAAGGGTGCTGGGGCCAAGTGCAGCTGGGATATTATTAGACACTTTACAGTTTGGTAAAGTACAGATGATAGCCTACAGTTTGGTAAAGTACAGATGATAGCCGTCAAGATGATGGAGAAGATTCTGCAACAGCCCATGCTTGGCGGTGTTACAGAGTAAACAAAGCTACCTTGAGAGAATAGAACCAAGCAATTTCAGAAGCTGTTAGTTTATTGATTGGGAATCCTAGTGCTGGGAGCATGTTACTTCCTACCAGTTGTTGGTCTCAGATGCCCTAGAGGCCCTTAAAATGATAAAGGAGATTGCCACTGTTGGCTACAGGCAAGAACTAGATGGTAAGGTTCCACGGCCTTACCTGAAGACACTGTACTGTTGCAGGACTTGGAGGATTCAAGCTGGGGCTGAGCTAAAAGTGTTCCCTCCCTGGTCATTAGGTTAGTGAGGAAAGGAGCTGGGGAGGCTGCTGAGAGTTCTGGCCAAGAGTCCTAATCATCTGTGGACCCTGCATGCTGACCTGGAAAAGTGGCAGGCGAGCTGTGCCCACTACTGCAGGAGTGGCATGGGTAGGTATGGATACAACCAAGTTTCTGACTGGACACTAAGCCCTTTCTACAGGCAGGAAATGACATCTGCCACCTGGCACTGTGAGTTCACACAAAAAGCTATAGATAGTTGGGGAAGTCGCAGGGCAACCGTGATCATTTTGTTAAATGCATGTGGTGTGCAGCTAATGTGTTTTCTGAACATTTGTGTTCACTCCTGTGGGTTATTATAGTTGTCTGTGTCCATTCAGGTATTTTTCTGTTTTCCCTACTTACCACCCCCTTTTCTCACTTGAGTTTTATGGAAGAAGGAATACCAATGAGACTCATCACCAGCCATCCTCTGCAGATAGATTAACAAGAGGACATGAGCATTCCCAGTACCCTCCTGGAGTTGAAGGAAAATCGTCAGACGTTTACAGTGTGCCCCCCATGACTCAGAGACCATTGTAGAAGAAGTAGGCAGGAGGAAGGTAGGAGCTGGGGAAAGGGTAGAGTGGAGTTGAATATGATCCTCCCCACAGAATAGCCCAACACCTTTATCAGAGAAGCTGTGCTTGCTTCCAGGTGTGCATCAGGATCGGGCCTATGGACCGTTGACATTTGGAAGGAGGGAGTTGGGAAGGTCATTGGATCCTCACCTGAGATTCCTGCCTCTCCCAATGTGTATGGAATTCTGCCCTAATTACATATGGCCTTGGAATCTCCCAGAAAGTGCTAGAGTAAATGGGCTGAGGGAAGTTTAGTGAAGAAAGGCGACATCTCTACAGCTTTGGGGAAGTCATCACCTCTGCTATGTAAAGACTATCCAGTGTGACTTCTTTGGAGCCACCCATGCTGTGTAAGCACAATAAAGTTATCGGTTCCCCAGATCATATCTGGATTTAATGTGAGGTGGGAGTAAATACTGCTTCTGTGCCCCACCCTATGCAGGGAAGGAATTCTTACAGCATGAGCATTTGTCTAGTCACTGGTTTGTATCATGAGGCTATGTCATACAGTTGACATAGAATACCAGGTCTGTGAAACACATGGTGTGATTTAGTCTCCTAAGCATGCCTTTCCCAGAATGTGTCTCTATCATTAAATTGCACATGAGGGTATCCTAATGGACTTATGGGAATTTTTTTTTTTACTTAAAAATACTAAGAAATACTAATTGCACATATTAATCAGGTTTAGTGTAGTATTTCCAGATTTGCATGCAGTACACCACAATGAAATCTAAGTAAGCTTTAAAAATTAAAAGTTAGTAATAGATGTCAATGTCCATAGTCAATTTTCCCTTTCAAAATGATTTTTAGTATATATTCATTATATAAAATTATGTATTTTATGATGGCATTTTATTAAATTTTATCATACTTTGACCATATTCTCTCCTCATTGTCCTCTTGTGTTCTTTCTACACTTCTCCAAGTTTCCTTCCTCTTCCTGCTTTCCTGGTGTGGGTATGTGTGCGTGCATGCGAGCATCATGTCATTTGTGCGTGTGTGTGTGTGTGTGTGTGTGTGTGTGTGTGTGTGTATGAATGAAAGCTATGTATGTGCACATACCAAGTGAGGGTTCTAGAAACCAAACTCTGGCCTTCTGGAAGAACAGCAAGTATTCTTAACCTCTGAGCCATCTCCTAGAGTTTTTGTTTGTTTGTTTTATTTTTGGTTTTGTTTTTTAACATAATATGTTTATTGATTCTTTGGGAATTTCACATCATGTATCCTGATCACACTCACTTCCCAGTCCTTCTGTGTCCACCTCACTTGTGACCCTCCCCACAAAATAAAAATAATTTTAAAAAATAGAAAGATAAAGGGGAAAAAAGTCCAATTTGTGTTATCACTGGAGCATGGTTAAACTCTCAGCGCCCTGCTCCTTAAATGGGACTGAGTCCTTCCCCTCCTGAACCCCTACCAGAGGCCATCAGTCATGGAGAGCCACATCTCAGCATCCTTGTCACACTTTTTAAGAGTTGTCTTTCATGGCTTCCTGTTTAGGCTGTTACTTGGGGGGAGGGGAGGAGGGCAGAGTTTGAGAGAGGTAGGGGTTGTCCCAGAAGCCTTCCATGTCCCTCTTTTGCGATTGTGTATCTGCCACCATCAATATCACTGTAAAAATAGCTTCCCTGCCCTTTACAGTCAGTGGAAGCACAGATTGTGGACTTCCACATGATTTCTAGCAACAGCACAGACCATGAACATAGCTCCCAGCTGCAGAAGGGCCACAGACCCAGACAAGGCCATTGGAGGAGCCTGGACCATGGACATCAACACAGACTCTGACTGCAGTAGGACCTTGGACCCAGACATGGCCCTCGGTGGCAGCAAGGCCCATGGGCATCAACATGGCTTCAGTCTGAGGCACTTGCATCTTGGTCTTCTTGACAGCCTGGGGTATCAAACTACTTGACCACACTTGCCATGGACAGGCTTAGAGGCCCAGACACAGCTTCTAGCAGGCAAAAGCTGGACCCAGGAAAAGCCATAAGCTGACCCCACCCAGTGGGGCCTGCATCTAAGAGGAAATACCCGACATTCCAAACATTCCCTATACCCCAGACAAATGTCAGGTCCTGAACCCTGGAAATCCTCTCACCCCAACCTCTGCTATGATAAAAACCCCACCCTGCCTGGGCTCTGGGCTCTCTGCTCTCACTACTGCTTCAGACAGAGTCCATGCTCCAAGCTTGGAAATAAAAGCTCTTTTTTGCTTTTGCATATGGGATTCAGTCTCCATGGTAGTCTTTTGGGGGTTCCTGCTCTCTGAGCATAATAGCATCATGGACCACAGACACCAACATGGCCTCCAGTGGCATCACTGACCATGGTGATCCTTCTAGGAGGTCTGATCCAGAAAGCGAACCAACTGTACCTCAACTCAGGCCTCCATTGTTGCCCAGAGCTAGGTCAATCCTGTGGGCAACACGTTTGATCTGCCCAAGTTCCAGGCTGTTGCACATTACCCCACTGACCCCACTGGGCAACCACAGGTTCCACTGTGGACCTTAGCCCTCTCTCACACCGTCACTGTCGCCAAATCTCCACTTCTGCCTTTCTCTACACACACATACTGCTCCTTCTTTGCATCTTTGTCACCTCTCCATCACATATTTGTTCAGCATAGTGATGCCCACCTAAGGAGGCAGAGCGGCCTGGAGCGGCATTTGGTTTTGTTTGTTTTCTTTCCTTTTTTAACAATAGCCATTGTGACAGAGTTGTGATGATCTCAGTGTCATTTTTGTAGATGAATTTCTAAACGGTCTCATTAAATAAAAAGCATGGAGTCAAATATAGGGGTAAAAACCTTAGAGATCAGGGAAATAGTGAGAGCCACCAACCACCTTACCTCACCAGCTCTGCAGCCCCCCAAAGTGAGCTACTTCCTGTCTACCCATGCCTTATTGCCTTGCTGTTTTGCTCTCTCATTGGCTCTTAGCCCAGCTACCTCACTTCTTTGTCACTGCCTGTCTGTACAGACCTCCAGGTCTCTATGGTTGGTACTGGGATTGAAGGTGTGTGTCATCGCCATGCTTGGCCATTCCCTAGTGTGTCCTTGAACACACAAAGATTCTGCCTGCCAAGTGATTAGATTAAGGGAGTGTGCTACCACTGCCTGACTTATGTTAATGGCTTGCTATTTCCTCTGATCTCCAGGGAAACTTTATTTATTAACATACAAATAAAATATCACCACATTTCAGCACAAATAAAATATCACCACACATTTTGATGTGCATTTCCTTGCTAGCTAAGGATGTTTGCCAGTTTGTTTTTTCTTTTATTTGTTGAGTTGCATATTTTACTTTCTCATTGAAAAACTGCTTTCTGACTTCCTTTGCCCATTTACTGATTGAATTATTTTAGTGTTTAATTTTTTGAGTTCTTTATAGATTATAGATGTCCATTCTCTGTCAGATATATAGCTAAAGAAGATTGTCTGCCATTCTCTGATCTGTCTCTTCACTCCACTGTGTAAGACAACAGAACATAATTTCATAGAATCCTTTTTGTCGATTTTTGAAATGTCCCGAGCTATTGGAACCCTTTTTAAAAAGAATTATTGCCTATAACT